ATGGAGTGACAGGACGAGGGGGAATGTCGTGAAACTGCCAGAGGGCAGGGTTAGGTTGGATATTAGGAAGAAATCCTTCCCTGTGAGGGAGGTGAGGCCCTGGCACAGGTTGTCCAGAGAAGCTGTGGCTGCCCCATCCCTGGAAGTGTTCAAGGCCAGGTTGGACGGAGCTTGGAGCAACCTGGGCTAGTGGAAGGTGTCCCTGCCTCTGGCAGGGGGGGTGGAACAGGGTGAGCTTTAAGGTCCCTTCCAAGGCAAACCATTCCAGGATCACCCGTTTTCTCACCGACTTTCTAGTACCATTTCCCATTCAGTGGTTCACATGTAATGCCAAACCATCCCTGGAACCATGCCTTGTTTTCATGCTCTTTCCTTCAATTTTGGCTCCAATAGCTCCAAGCAGTTGCAGGGTCTTGCCCAGGGTAAGAAGCATCCTTCCACAACAGGCTTGCACATCCTTTACCTCCTCTTAAGGCATTAAAGCCCCTTACCTGATAAAATCTGCCAAGCAAACTGGGAAATGTTTGGGCTGAAGGGGTGGCAGATTCTTCCTCTAGCCCAGTTCAGTTGTGGCTCGATGTGGTTGGTGCCTTTTCCTCCCCGTGCCAGAGGCTGGGGCTGCATCAATGGGTTGGTGTGAGTGGGGTGAAATGGCACAACAGGACGGATTAGTGCCACACTGTGTCATTAGTGCCACACTGTGTCGGGTTTGCATGGACAGGTTTTGGCAGCGGGGAGGCTACAGGGGTGGCTTCTGTGAGAAGGTGCTGGCTGGGCCAATCAGGAATGATAGTGACGCCTCTGGGACAACATATTTAAGAAGAAAAAACCCAGTGTTACTGCAGAGGTGTAATTGCAGCCAGAGGAGAGCAGGGTGAGAATGTGCGAGAGGAACAACAGTGCAGACACCAAGGTCAGTGCAGAAGGAGGGGGAGGAGGTGCTCCAGGCGCCACAGTGGAGATTCCTCTGCAGCCCGTGGTGCAGACCATGGTGGGGCAGCTCTGCCCCTGCAGCCCACGGAGGTCAGTGGGGGTGCAGAGACCCCCCTGCAGCCCGTGGAGGAGCCCACGCCAGAGTAGGTGGATGCTCAAAAGGGGTTTGTGAACCTGAGGGAAACCCATGCTGGAGCAGGATCCTGGCAGGGACCTGCAGACCCATGGAGAGAGGAGCCTGTGCTGGAGCAGGTTTCCTGGACTTGTGACCCAGTGGGGGGACCCACGTTGGAGCAGCCAGTGCCTGAAGGACTGCACCCTGTGGAAGAGTGACCCATGTCACAGCAGTTCGTGGAGAACTGTGGGATGGACTCACGTTGGGGAAGTTCATGGAGGACTGTCTCCCATGGGAGGGACCCCATGCTGGAGCAAGGGAAGGACCCTTCTCCCTGAGCAGCATCAGGAACGTGTGATGGCCAGACCGTAGCCCCCATTCCGTCTCCCTGTGCCGCTGGAGGGGAGGAGGTAGAGCTGGGAAGGAGGGCGGGGTGGGGGGAAGGTGTTTTTAAGATTTATTTTACATCCCCTTATCCTGCTCTGATTTTGTTAGTAATAAATTCAGTTAATATCCCCAATTCGAGTCTGTCTTGCCCGCGATGGTGTTCAGTGAGTGATCTCTCCCGCCCCTTATCTCAACTCATGAACCTTTGTTATATTTTTTCTCTCCCCTGTCCAGTTGTGGAGGGGAGTGATAGTGCGGCTTTGGTGGATGCCTGGCATCCAGCCAGGGTCAACCTACCACACACACAGAAGAGTAGGGAGCAGGATTTGCTCTTGCAGACAAAGGCTAATTTATTGGGATGGTTGCGTGAGGCAGCACACGGGTGGAGGATCAGATCTGAACACGACGGGTGGTCATTGTCTAGTTGCAAAGGTCCTCGTAGCAGCATCTTCAGCTGGAGCAGGAGAGACTCCCCCAGCTTACCCCCCCCAGTCCTGCCCTACCAGCTCCTGGATCTGTGGTTATTGATAATCTTAAATGACCTACACAACATCTCCGAACTATCTTAAATATACATATTCCTCTGTTGCAAACTGTCTGCGCAGTTTGGGTGATGCTGCAGCAGGAACCAGCTGGGGAGGCCATGGGATCATAGAATCAGGGAATCATTTAGGTTGGAAAAGACCACTAAGTCCAATCCAGCCATCATCCATCAGATGCTCTGTCCCTCCCTGCAGGGGAGGTTTGGGTTGCCCTGGGGGGTTTTTAGGTTTCTCAGCCTGTTGTTATGGTAAAGGGACACTTGCCTGTCCTGACTGCTCCATTCCCAACGCTGGCTTTGGCACTGCACAAATTAAGGCCAACAAACTGTGCTGTGCAGGGTCAGGAAATCCAGCCTTGCCTGCCTGACCTTGGGCAAGGGGAGGGACAGAGGCTGGGATCCCAAGAGGGAGGGTGGTGGTGGGAGAGAGCATCTCAGTGCAGGGACAGAAAACTGAGCAGCTCAGGTTTGGAGGAGCAGGGAAGGTACAGAAAGCAGCACTCCAGATATCTAGCCCAGGGCATTCCCTGCCTGGGCAGGACACTTGGCTCCCTTTGCGTCATTCCTCAGCCACCAGGAAAAGTGGATCATGGGTATGGACCACAGCCAAGAGATTGAGGTTCAGGCAGAGAATTTCTGAAAGCCACGGGCTGGTGCAAGTCCTCATGGGAACATGTGAGATAACCAAGTAGCAAAAGGCACCCGCAGAGTCCGGGTGAGAGCAGTGCAGCCAAGGACAGAGCACCATGGCAGGGCTCCGTGTCCGCTCCCTTCTGGTGACTGGGGCCAACAGGGGCATCGGCCTGGGGCTCGTCCAGCACTTCCTGAAGATGCCAAACCCACCCCAGTGGGTCTTTGCGGGCTGTCGGGACCCCAAGGGACAGCGAGCACAGGTGAGGCCAGGCTGGGAGGCAGTGGCTGTGCTGGGGGACGGGAGCACTCGGTGCCATGGTGGAGACTGGAGCAGGGAGGGGGTTTGTGAGGGGCTGGAGCTGCGGCTGGGCACCCACAGCACAGGGCAGCTGGGCTGGGACACCGTGGGAGCAGCTGTGCATGGGATGTTTGAAGGGAACAGTGGCACATGGCACGTGCAGGAGGCACAGAGCCCCATGTGATGGGAGCAGGGCAGCTGGATCAGGGTGTTGGGCACAAAGCAGTGCAGGGATGGAGCCAGAACGACACGGGCTTTGTCCGAGAAAAGCTGAGTCCCTCTGCAGCCCCTCCTGCCTCTCTGTGCCCACACAGTGCCCTCTCTTGCAGGAGTTACAGAATTTGGCTTCCAAGCACCCCAACCTGGTCATAGTCCCACTCGGTAGGTGCCCCGAGGTGGAGAACCTTTGCCCCAGGTCCTCTGGCGAGTGCCCAAGCGTTGGGCACACCCGGGCAATCCCTGTGCTGGGAGGGAGCCGTGCCAATGGGCTGGTGCTTGTGGGGCCATCAGGCACTGCCAACGCTCCCGCCCATGACCAGCCCTGAAGCATGTCCCTGGGGGAAAACAGGTAACCCCAAGCCACCACAGGGACACTGACCTTCCCTGTATCGGCTCTGCAGAAGTTGCCAACCCCGCCAGCATCAAGGCGGCTGCAACCAGCGTCAGGGAGCACGTGGGGGGCTCTGGGCTGAACCTTCTCATCAACAATGCTGGAATTGCCAAGATAACCATGCTTGAAAATGAGACACCGGAGGACATGACTGAGATTTACACCACCAACACGGTTGGGCCTCTGCTGATGGGCCAGGTGAGACCCTCACCCACGCTGGGCTGTCCTGGGGGAGCGTGAAGGGCTGGTGGGAGGGGGTCCTGCTTCCACTCTGGAGCCTGATGGGCTCTCAGTTGATGAGAAGCTTGTGGAGCCATGGGCTGGAGCTCAGGAGCTGGAGCCTGGCAGGCTGGGGCAGTGGGGAGAGAAGGGAGAATGTTCTGATGCTGGTGCCAGTGCTGCCCACTGTGGAAGGAGCTGGTCCTCTCCCCTGGGCCACATCCATGTCTCTCCTGTCTCCTCTTCCTCCTCGTAGGCGTTCCTGCCCTTGCTGAAGAAGGCTGCGCAGGGGAGCCCGGACACAGGGCTGAGCTGCAGCAAGGCAGCCATTGTCAACATGTCCAGCATTGGTGGCTCCATCGGTTGTCCCTATGGTTGGGAACTGATGCAAGTTACCTCGTACCGCTGCAGCAAGGTACTGTCACACCGTGCCGGGAATAGATTTGCTTCCCCTGCCCTGCCACAGCCACAGGTCCCTTTGCAGCTCCCCTTCCCTTCCCCTCCCACCACCATCCCTGCCCTGTCTCCCCACAGGCTGCTCTGAACATGCTGAGCAAGTGCCAGTCCCTGGCATACAAGGAGCACGGCATCCTCTGCGTCGCTCTCCACCCTGGCTGGGTGCAAACTGACATGGGCAGCTCTGCTGGACACACGGTAGGAATTCCACCATGGTGGCTCCGTCAGAGCCCATGTGCTGACTTTCCATGGGTGGAAGTTACTGCCATGATTCCCTGCACACGACTTCCCATTCTACCTGATCTCTGGCAGGACAGCTCTCCCTGTCCTGGTCCCGGGTGCTGGGTGCCCCCATCCCCTCAGTTCCCTGCTCAGCCCCTCTGCCTGGGGTTGTCGGTTTTCCCCTTGCCTTGGAGTGGCTCCTTCCCCTGGCTCCAGCTGCTCCAGGGCCCTCAGCCAGGCCTTGGGCACAGGCTGCCTCTCCCCCTTTGCCCCACAGCCCCCCGTGACAGTGGATGACAGCGTGAAAGGGATGCTGAAGGTGCTCTCCTCCCTCTCCGAGAAGGACACCGGCACCTTCCTGGACTGGGAAGGGAACGTCATACCCTGGTGAGACACCAGTTCAGGATCCTGGCAGCGGGACCCTTTGCTGCTGCTACCATCTGCCCCACATCCTCAATAAACCCCTGTCAAGAGCCCTCAGCTCTGCTGTGCATTGCCAGCTCATGGGGTGGCCCCTTCCTGGTTGCCCCACTCCTCAATCCCACAGCTGCCACCGGATCCATGGCTGTCGTTGCACCCCCATGAGTGACAACGTGCAGGTCCCATGGCACTGTAACAACCCTCTGGAGACCTCTCCTCCAGGAGGCACTGGAGGAGCCAGGGCAGAGGCCCTTCCATGGAGTTGAAAGGTCTTCTGAACCCCTGCAGGGTTGGCTTTCCCCCTCTCCAGCTGCAGGGCACCCCAGGGCTGTGCTCAGCCTGGGCTGCCCAAGGGCCTGGGGGTCACAGGGATCAGCTGCCCTCTCCCCTCAGCTGGGGTATGCCTGGTCACAGGTGGGACAGACAGACACACAGCACTTGGGAAGTGCACAGCGAGCGTGTGCCGGGCTCGGGTGGGGAGTTTGAGGCTGGGTGTGTGGAGACAGAGCAGAGAGACATCAGCTCACAGACTTTACAGAGGTGGGGGGTACAGAGAGACTACAGGGTCATGCAGAGGATGGGGAAGGGGAGAGAACCTGCTTCCCAATCCCTTCCCCTCTCCCTGACAGCCCAAGGTGGACTGAGGGCAAGGAGGGTGACCACTCAGAGGGGTGAGCTGGCAAGCTGGAGGCTGTGGCGTGGGCAAGAGGCACCATCCATCTGTCCATCACCAGGGCAGGCGGTTTCCTTCCCAGTCGAGGAAGGCTCCGGAGGCGTCCTGCGAGAGGCTGCCCAGCACGGTCAGGATGCCCCGCACGCTCTGCTCCACTGTCAGCGGTGCCTGCAGGAGGGGACAAGGCACAGCGTCACTGCCACGGGCTGTGATCAGCACAGAGAGCAGCTCTTGGGCAGAGGAGAGGGTGTGCAGCCTGGGAGCAGCCCCCACAGTGCTCATGGGGATATTTTTCCTTACTGCCACCCCTCTGTTCTCCAGGCTGGGAGGAGGGGAGACAGGGCTGGCTGTGTTGCTTGCTGCCTGCTCCCTGCTTGCTCCGACCCAGGAGATGGTCCTGGCAGCCCACACAGCATCTCCCAAGTGGCCCTGCCCGCCCCAAGACATGGGGGTACAGTGAGGGTTCTGCTGTCCCTCCCCTGTACAGCCCAGTACCTTCTCCGTCCCCATGTCAGTCTTCACCCAGCCAGGATGGATGGCCACACACAAGATCCCCTTGTCCTGGAGCTCCGCAGCCAAGCACCTTGTCACCATGTTCTGGGCAGCCTGGAAGAGGCACAGCCCTGCCAGCACGACCCAGGGTGTGGGTGGGCAGGAGGGGGCTCATTTCCCAGGCAGAAAATGGCTGTGGAGGTGGGAAATGGGACTTGGCCCCTGGGTAAAGCATCAGCACGACCTGCCTGGAAGGCTCCGTCCCGGGTGCTGCTGTCCCGGTCTCTGGCAGAACCAGGCAGGGGGTGGGTGAGCAGGGCAGGGGGTCCCCCCATGGCCTTTCCCCCTCCACGGGCACCGTGCACGGCAGAGCGTCCCCAGCACCTCCCCTGGCACCTCACCTTGCTGGCACGGTACGGGTACATGGGGGCCTCTGGCAGCCCGAGGCACAGCCCGAGGGATGCCAGTTTGGTGGAGATGTTGATGGCCGCGGCCCTGCTACAGCTCAGCCCTTCCTTCCCTGCGCCCTTCGCCGCCTGCTCCAGGAGCGGCAGGAATTCCTAAGGCAAAGAAACCGACGCTCTGTTCAGGCCTGACAAGCCCCCAGTTCAAGGACTGCCCTGGAGGGCTCTGTTGCACGCCACAGATGAGCAGCTGGACAGACACCCCCGGCAGAAGGGCAGGGGATGGGGAGGATACCCCAAGGAGCAGCCAGGCTCCAGCCTTTCCCCCTCCCCAGGGAAGGAGGGAGCTGGCACAGCCAGCCTGGGGCGGGCAGGAGCTCCAGCTGGGGAGGAACAAAGCGAGGGAGATGTTGGGGCTGGGCTGCGCTGCTGAGCTCCCCTGGGTGGGCAGGGGAGACCCATGGAAGTGGCCTTATTCCCGTCAGGGAACATCCCCCTAAGCAGGAGAAAGCCAAAAGGTCCACGTGTACCTTGGTAACCTGCAGTGGCCCAACCACGTTGGAGGCAAACACGGCGAGCATCTCCTGGGCATCCAGGGAGCGCAGCGTGGCGTGTGAGCTGACACCTGCGTTGTTGATGAGCAGGTTCAAGCCCTGGTCCTTCAGATGAGACCCCACAGCCCCCACGGCCCCTCGGATGCTGGGCAGGTTCACCGTGTCTGCCAGGGCAAAAAGCAAAGCGGAGCAGAGCTCCTGCAGGTCACACAGCACCCAGTGGAGATTGTGCTGTGGCTGGAATGGCTCTCTCTAAACCAGCATTATCCAGAAAGGACACAGCAGGTTTAGCAGGTCAGGTTATTAAGCACATTGAAATGATCAGCAGCTTGTTCTCACCTCTTGGTTTCGCAGCCTCAGAAAAATTAAACCTCAATTCAACCCATTATGGCTGTATGGGGGCTACTGGTAGGAAAAACTTGCTGTATTTGCTTTCTGTACTCAAGGAATTTATGATTGCAGAAGGGATGCTTGGTCCTTTCACACTGAGACTCCCAAATTTATTTCTACTGGAAGCCACCACAGATGGGCACATTTTAAGGACAGACACCATCTTTGGGGAAACAACCAAACTATGCTCTTCAAGCCCTTCTGTACTTCACAGCAGCTGTTAACATAGAGGGGATTATTAGATTGGATGAAAATCCTTTCTGTTTTATACCACTCTGACCAACCATTTTGAGTTACCTTTGCCTTTTTAAACAATTTGTGCTTAAATTGATCTTCCACAGAGCAACTTCCCATAGTTTTGCAGCCATTGGTATGCAAAAATCCTTCTTTTTTCCTATCCTTTTTCTTCTGTTCAGATTTTTATTTGCTTCCTGTTGTTACTCACAAGGATTTGGAGCTCACAGATGAGCTAAGGTGAGTACAAGTAATAAAAGATTTGGGATGTAACCTGCAGTATTTGGTTGCAGGCTCTGAGTCTGAACTTCCCCATCCCTACTGACCAAGTTGTGGGGACAACCCCTCTCAAGCAACCAGAAACAAATGAAACTGGGCTAACAGGGATAAGCATCCCCAGTGCTTTCCTCTTTGCTTAAATACTGGTCTGGTTTTGAGATTCTGCCATGCTTTCATTGCAGGATTTTTTGGCCAAGGCAATAAAAATGGTATTTTTTTTAACTTTGTGTTCAGCTTTTGGGGTTGCTTGTTGGGATTCGTGTCCCCTACCGGGTGCTCACCCACTGAAGTGGCTGTTGTTTGTTTAAAAGGGTCACCTAAACACCTTCAGGATCTGCAATGGGCGGGTTAGGCCAACATTAAACTTTGTATATTGCCTTTTAATACCTCAACTGATCCCCTAAGAACCATGAATATTCAAGCATATGGGCATGTTGGAGTGTGCCCTTGCTCCCCTTGCACATTTCTGTGCCCTTTTTTTGCAGATGCCAATCTGATGAGCCTGCTGGGAGGGGGCGACCGCAGGGCTTGATTCCTCCTTTTTGCAACACTTTGGCCCCTGAGCTGTGTTTCTGTTCTCATGCTTAGACAAGAGTGACTTAGCAGAGCTTTCCAAGCCTGAAGACTCCCTTCTTGGAGTATTTAATGCACTGACGAGCAGCAGAACCACCCTTTTTCCCGGCATTTTTAACTAGCCTGGTGTCTTTATGGTGATAAGCAGGTACGTGAGTGGCATGGGACTCGTGTCCACCTTGCCTTGTGCAGCACACACCTTTGTAGAGGTGTCCTGAAAACATCTGAGGGGAATGTGAGGGGCTGGAGCCTTGGGATTCGAGAGGGCACGACCAGCTGCAGGACATATCACAGAGAGCTTTGGAATGACTTCTCTTTGGATAACGATCGGATGAAGTTCAAGGCTCTCCTCCACACATGAGGGATCTTTTGGTCACTTGGTGAATGATTAACTGCTCTGTTTGGATTTAGCTGAGTCATTGCTCCGAGGGGTCAACGTGTGGGACCAGCACGTTTCTAGTTCTAAGCCACCAAATTTGCTTAAGGAACAAACTTTTGTCTCCTGAGAGGAAATGAGATAAGGATGAGAAAGAAGGAGAGAGAATAAAAAGAAGTGACAGATCTTACACATTTTGGAGTTACTTTTTAACTCCTTTCTGAAAAGTCCATATTGCTTTGGAGACAACCTTTCCTTAAGATGGAGCAAGACAGCCTGAAGCAGCTTCTCTTTTAAAAAAATACTTTGTTCCTGTTGATTCTTCATGGGTTTTTAGCTTATTTTTGGACTTAATTGATAGTCTGGGGTTTGGGCGTATGTCTTTTAGTAGAGGTTGTTTATGTAGTGGTCAGTCCTTTGAGATGTCCCTTTTTATGTTGGCCATGCTTTAGTGAGCTTACTTCCCATCACGTACTGCCAGTTGGGGCTCACAGCTCATTTATTTTTTATTACAGAGAAGGTGTTTTACTTTAATAATCTACTTAATAGTGAGAGAGAGATTTGCCGCCTCTTTGTAGTAAGAGCCTGACTTCAGGAATGTCTTATTTGCTAAGAAATGCTAAAAACCCTGAACTTTGAAAACCTGCACTTTTCAGGTGTTTTCAGACAAATAAATAGGTTTGTAGGTAGGTAGATACTTATACAGTCTGCATGGCCTTTATTCAATTTTCTTATCACTGGCTACAGTGAAATACTCAGAAATATTTAGAAGCTCTGGCTGCTCCCCACCTCTCTTATTACAGCGATGGTTATTCTGGTGCAAGCGCTTTCCCAAAACACTTCTTTTGGATTTGGATGGTTTTTTTAACCAACTCTTCATTAATAAAAGGAGCAGCTGTGAGCAGCCTCCACTCTCTCAGACACAGGAGAACACAGGAGATCTCTGCCTCCTCGAAACACATCCACAGGAGATCACATTCCTCAGCCTGGTGCTCCCTATCTCCCCAGGCTTCACTCCAACACTGTCCTACCCTGTGAGCCCCCAACCCTGTCCAGCACCCTGGAAGCTTCCTTCCTGACTTTGCCAACTCCAAACACCACTCTGGTCTCCCTTTTCTCCCCAAGTCCCTGTCCTGTCCAGGTCCATTTGCCACCTTCTCCTGCTGCTCCCAAGGCCGCTGACAAAGGCCACTTCCACGGGAGCACAGAAGAGACAAGAGGACATCTCCCCAGCCTAGGATGTGGACATCCCAAACTGGAGCATGCTTATGGGTCTAAGCATCAGCCTGGGATACCAATACCACCACAAGGCCAGATTTCCCATATGCAGCCTCTTAGCCTATTTTTTTCCTCCCTTTTTACCTGCAGTGAAAGAAATGCTGATTGTGGCCACTTCCAAGCAGATCCCAAACCAACTCTCCTACTTAGGAACCATCCAGTAGGTTTGCTTGCTGTGCCCTGCCTTCCTTTGCTTTGTGACCCGTGTGTCCCAGCCCAAAACTTGGCCACTGTATTTAGCATCTTTGGGACGAGATGCCTTTCCCATGAAACTTGCTCAGCTGAGGTGTCCGGACCCACCTCTGCCTCCTCTGAATCCAGTTTGACTGCCCCAACCAGAGGGCAGCTTCACTTGACTTGAATGGATCCCTCCCCATGGATCCCTCCCCACCTGGCAGGGCTAGAGCTTCCTGGCCAAGCTGCCCCTGTCCCATCCCCGAAGCCAGTAGAGAACTGGAAGCAACGCTGGATGAAAGGAGAAAGATTGCTCCATACCTAGCTGGACCAGTTTGATGCTGGCGTGCTGGGCAGCTAATTCTTTCAGGGCCTGGAAAAATGATGGAGCAGGCAGGAGGTTAGAAGTGACTGGCAGCACAGCCAGGTGTCCCACCCCTGCTCCCAGGTCACCGAGCCAGGGTGGCTTTGCTTTCTTTGGGGAAAGAGTGTGGGGCCATTCCCAGTGGATGGGGCAGGGCAGCATCCCCACAGCCAGCAGGAGAATGGTGCTGCTGGGCTTAGGCACTGCCCCCCATCCTGAGTGATCCCAGCATGGAGAAGGGATTGTCTGGCCATTGGCACAGCCAGGAGTGAGTGTTGAAGATATGTCTGCCTCTCCAGCCTCATCCTACCCGGCTACATCAGGCACTGCCTTATCCAGGGTACTTGGGGGTTATGAAACCCCCCAGAGCACTCCTGCCCCCACTGCTGGGCGACCCAGCCAGGTCCAGAGCCAGCGGGGAGCTGCCAGGGCTGTGGGGACCGTGGATTCCCTCTGCCCACCTGGCTCAGGACCATCCCCGTGCCCTGTGCCCAGACTGACCTTCCCTCTCGGACCCTCGGGGTCGCGGCAGGTGGCAAAGATGTGCTGGGGGGGCCGGGGGCTGGCGGCGAGCTGCCGCACGAGCTCCAGCCCGATGCCCCGGTTGGACCCCGTCACCAGGACGCTCCGAGCCAGCGCAGCCATCCCCGCAGCCTCCGCGCCGGGCGGTGACACATGGCAGGATTGCCGCCTGCTCGGCATGAAGAGGAGCCAGGCACAGCCCAGGGTGTGGCTCCGGGTGCCCACGGGGGACGGGGACAGTGCCAGCACCAGCCCTGGCCCCTCGCCTGCCCCAAACAGAGCCAGGGTCCCAGGAGGATCAAGAGGTCTCTGACGTTTTGGCACGCGGGGCTGCGTGTCTCCTGCATTACCCAGACTCCCACCACTTCACCCCTCTAAAGCCCCAGCTCCCAGAGTCTCTGCAACAGCAGAAGGGTCCATCTCTTCCACAGGTTTGGTAGGTCACCACCAGGAAGAGGGAAACAGGTTCAAATGTGACTGTGGCCGGCAATCTCCCAGTTTGGGGAGTGAGTTTGGGATGGTTGAACCCTGGTATACTAATCCAAAGTTCAGCCTAGGGAGGGAATTTTCAACACTTTCCCCCTGAGCACCCCACCCAGGAGCCAGCAGGGAAGGACCCCCAGCTTCCTGCTGACCCAACCACCTGCTGCTGGGACTCCAACCTCATGGCCATCACCTTCCTCCTTGCTGGAGGAGAATGCTGGATGCCTATCAGCCCAAGAGGTGCCTGTAAAGCCAAGGCTCCTGCAGCCCAAACCAGCCTAGGGGCATGGATTTCTAGGATGCAGAAGTGCTAAAAGAAGCAAAGAGCTGCCATGTAAAGAGCCTCAGTTGAAAGAGAAGAATTGGGGCAACCCGAATGTAAGGAGGGAAAGGGAACAAGAAGAGGAAAGTTGTGGGGATGGGTCCATCCCATCTGGACGTGCCCAGTGGGACATATCTGTTGCTCAGCCTGGCAGAGGGGACAGAACTGCCTATTCCCTGGGATATTGAGTGCTTCCACATTTGGTGATCACCAAAGAAATACACGAAAGGTAGTGAAGGGGCCCCAGGTTTGGATGATGAGGTTTCAGGTGACACAGAGCGTGGAGGGCTATGGCCCCCATGAGAAGTAAGCGTGCTGGGTGTGGATTTGGGTGGTGTTGGAGTCGGACCTGCTGTAGCAGATGTTCTTGAGGGTGTAATCACCTGTGCAAGCAATTGCACTGCACAGACTTGCCTGCTCCTGCTGCTATCTGCCAGCAGCATCCGGAGCAGAGCTCCCATTAGGCACCAATTAGACTGGAGTTTCCTCTTTTCCTTCCAGGCTCCTCGGGAAGGAGACAACAGAAACAAGCGAAGAGGGCTGCAGGACCAGGAATGGTGGGAATGGCTGCGGGCCAGCGCTGAGCAGGGGAGGCAAGCACCAAGTGACCTTTGGAAAGGGCTGACCGATGGTGGCCAAGGACAGCAGCACAGGCGTGCTGATGGCTCGGGAATCACAGCCCAGGGGCAGAAAGGATCCACTGAGGAAGAGATGCTCTCTCCATGAGAACAGCCAAGGCTTCAGGCAGGGAGTGGGGCTGTGCTGGGTGGCCAAAGCTCGTGGTCCGGCACCGCACCGTCATTGTTGCAAAATGTGGAATGTGTCTCTGGATTATCTCAAGTCAGGATGTTCTTTGATGTTAGATTTTTGTATACTTTCAAGCCTAATCAGCAAGAAAGGAGGGCTAATCAGCGGAGCAGGCAGCAGCCAGCATCCCTTACTCAAGGACATTCTGGAACTAATAAGCTTTAGGGATGACATTGCTAACTCGGAAAAAAACTCAAGGTCCATGTGTCCTAGACCTGAACTATCTTCTTTATAATACTAAAAATCACACCTACAGGTCAAAAGGACCATGCCCGGGTAAGGACCCTTACCCTGAGCACGCGCAGAATTCATCTGGGGTTGTGTGATTTGTATGGGAATTACTAATCAATCCTAAAAGAGCGGACTGAAAAGTTACCGTAACACTCGCAAAGCCACTAACTCAGAATTTGCGTGTAAATAATGGTGCGGAAAGTCCAGTGGGGCGTGCTGGGCTTGTGGAACACCACCGAGCACCCAGGCTCAGGCAGCTCTGAAATCAGGAATCAGTGTCTCTCTCTCTCGTGTCTCAATGTCTCTCTCTCTCGTGTGTCATTACTGGCTCGTTGCACACGGGGGAAAACAAACCCCACTTTTGAGGGTGACCCCACTGCGCCCACAGGGCGGGCACCCCTAAAATGGCGGCGCCCTGCGCGGCCTCAGCCCGGCCGCGTCACGTGGCCGCCGCCTTCCCGCCATTGCATCAGCCGGCGGCGGGCCCGCCCCGGCGGCGGGGGAGGCGGGGCTTGAGCGGAGCGACAGCGCCGGCAGCCAATGGGAGCCGTGCCCGCGGCGGGGGGTGGGCGGGGCGAGGCGCGCGCTGCGGCGGCCGGCGGTGAGGGGCGAGGGGCGGCGGCGGCCGCGCAGGTACGGCCGGGGGGGGGGCACGGGGGGTCTGCGCTCCGGGTTTGGCCGCCACGGCCCGCCCGGGACCCCCGGGACCACGGGAGAAGGGCAGGAGGGAGGGTAATGGGGGAGGGTGGTGGTGGTGGTGGTGGTGGTGGCGGCGGTGGCGGTGCCGCTGGTCGCGCCCCAGCCGGGCCCCGCGGGGGGATGGCGGGTCCCGCGGGAGGATGGCGGGCCCCGCGCTTTCCCCGCCCTTCCTCGGGCACTGGAGAGCGGGCGGTGTCCGGGCAGAGCCCCTGGTCGGCCCTGTGCGCAGTCCTTCCCTCCTCCGGTCATTCCCTCCTCCAGCATCGAGGTTGGACTCGATGATCCCAAAGGAGTTTTCCAGGCTCATTGATTCTGTGATTCAATGAACTGCTCCCAGGCCCTGCTCCCGTGGGGGATTCCCGTCCCTCGGCGCCGCAGCGGGCTGCTGGGAGCTCGCCCCCCCTCCGTGTATCTGCATTGCGCTCCGCTGACAGGGACAGCTCTGTGCGCCCGTGGGACACTCGGGCCGTGCTGCCCTGCGGGCTGTCACTGCCTCTGGGGTGCCTGAGGGCAGGTGGGTCCTCCCAGGGAAGGCTTCCAGGCATCCCTGGAGCTGTCTCTGCTTCGAGCAGGGAGGGCGGACAAAGTGATATTCAGGGGTCATTTCCAAATTTGGCTCTTCTGTGGTTTAATTATAGAATCACAGAATAGTTTGAGTTGGAACAGACCTTAAAGCTCATCAAATTCCACCCCCCTGCCATGGGCAGAGATACCTTCCACTAGACCAGGTTGCTCCAAGCCCTGTCCAGCCTGGCCTTGGACACTTCCAGGGATGGGGCAGCCATCCCAGCTTCTCTGGGCAACCTGTGCCAGGGCCTCCCCACCCTCACCAAGAAGAATCTAACCTAAATCTCTCCTTTTTTGCTTTAAAAGTGTCCTCCCTTGTCCTGTTACTATCTGCCCATGTAAAAAGTCACTCTCCCTCTCTTTTATAAGCCCCCTTCAGATACTGGAAGGCTGCAATGAGGTCTCCCCACTCCTGCATTTATTCTCCTTGAGTGCTTTGACGACTTGGCAGTTCCCTCCACCCATGTCCCCAGCAACACAAATGCAACATATTAAGTTCAGTATCCATGTGAATTTGCAATTTTAAAACCATATGTTTTCAAAGAACAGGTAACTTGATGTAGAGCCCTGAAATCAGGGAGGTTGGGGGAGAGGAAGTTTGGGGTTGGGCCAGCGCTCCTTGGGGCAGACCGATGGTTGAACTGAGGAGCCAGTGAGTACTTACTGTGGGGGGACCCTTTCAGGAGATGGAGACAATGATCCTCATGTTCAGCTTGAGCTAACAACACGTCAGAGCCTTGTTTGTTGTTGTTTCTTCAGACTGCACCGAGGCCTTGCCGCTTTGGACAGCGGTGACTTGCAGCCTCAGGATGGAGGCCACGCTCACCGCCAGCCAGATCCGGCAGCGGTTCATCGACTTCTTCAAGGCAAACAAGCACACCTACGTGCACTCATCTTCCACCATCCCCCTGGACGACCCCACGCTGCTCTTTGCCAATGCTGGTATGAATCAGGTAGGTTTCCCCACCCTGGCACTGCGGTCCTTACGAACGTATCCTGTTGAAACCTTTGAGGCTGTTTGCAGAATTTTTTGTGTGAAAAATTATTATTTTCTCCGTCTTCCATCTGGTCACAATGAGGTGGTTGGTGTGTCCTGCTGGAGCCCTCTGTGCCCTCACAGAATTGGCAAGAGCACTGGAAGAGAGGTCCCTGTGATGGGAGCTCTGCCAGTCTCCCTTCCTTGACCCTTTGTACTGCAGCCAGTCCTGGCACAAATGACTAATGGCATCTTTAAAGAGTGGTTGGGACTGACCTGCTGCAAGGGCTGTGCTGCAGATCAGCACCCGGTTTTTATTTTTTGGCAGCTGGGAATCTGACAGCTTCTAGTCCCTTTGGAAGTTCCAGGGTTTGGTGGGCTCCAGGAACATGTGTATATGTGAGTGCTGAGTTCTAGGCAGTGCTGCAGCCTTGCCCCAGGCAGGAGCAGCAAGTTTGTTTCTGAAAGGTGCCTTGAGTGTGTCCAGGCCAGTGATATTGTCACACAGATGACACACACACTGCCTTGCTGTTGCTTGCAACATTTCGAAACAGTCTCTGAGTGCTGTCCTGAGTTGCCCTTTTTTCTCTCCTCTCAGTTCAAACCCATCTTCCTCAACACCATCGACCCCTCGCACCCGCTTGCTAAACTGAGCAGAGCCACCAACACCCAGAAGTGCATCCGAGCAGGGGGCAAACACAACGACCTGGATGATGTGGGGAAAGATGTGTACCACCACACCTTCTTTGAGATGCTGGGGTCCTGGTCCTTTGGGGATTACTTCAAGGTAAAGCAGGCTGGGTGCAGCTCTGAATCTCTGGCACAAATTTATCTCTGTGAACTCAGCAGAGCGGTTGCCAAGAGGAAAGAGAATATGTTGGCACAGAGGTGCATGTGGCTCCTTTGGGATAAATGAGGTTGGAAGCTACCCCGACCCTGCAGAATGATTTGAGATTAATTACTTAAGGTTTACAAAGCTGATTAAATTAACTCTGTTAGTTTGGAGTCTTCAGGCAGAGGTTTTAGGGGTTGTCCTGGAGCTGTGGGGAATTGCTACGTGCAGCTATGGTGGACCTTCAAACAGGA